ATTTGATGAATGAGAATATGAATTGATCGTGTTTCTTTTGGGAGAGTATCCCGTTTTCTGGAGAGAGTATCTCCTTTTATCTTCCCGTTCGTTCACGCTTCCCCTACATCACTTATACTTTTAACAATATGGTTTCTTAATGAAATGTGATAGTTGATTTTCAGTTGCTTGATAGCTAAACTTGGATTTAGAGGACTTGCTTTTGAATTGTTCGTTTTGAGGGCCCATAAAGACATTTATGGTGGAGCACATGATGAAGGTTCTTGATTGTCATCTCTCTCTCTCTCTCTCTCTCTCTCTCTCTCTCTCTCTAAATTTGGCATCCAAAACTTTTCCCAAAGCAAAATGATAGGCCAACCATGAAACTTACTTTTATTTTAAATAAAGATTGGTTGAGCATTAGCATGTGAAGGGACACATAAATAAGTGGGGACTCTCTAATTGAGTTAATGCTCAATGGTATAATGACTCTAAAGATTATTAAAGTGAAAGCGTGCAGAGTGCATGAAGAAGAAGAAGAAGAAGAGGGGGAACACCAAGCCCAAACCTTCATTATCATTCATCAACTTGGGATAAAGATGGGAGTTTTTCCTCTTTCAATTGTCTGTATCAATCAATGGCTTGTACTGTACATGACCCTACTACTCATCACCATCTTTAATTTCTTGATCTAACCATTTACCTGACTTCTGTAGGTTTAAATTTTGTTGATCTAATAATCCTAACCCAAGATATTTATTGGCTATAAAAGAAGACTTGATATTTGCGTTTTCCTTCTGTTTTGGAGTTGGTGATTGAGCATTATGATCATCTACTGTTTCCAGTGGGGCAATACCTAAATTTGTTCTTTGTATACATTCAGATCTTTATCTTTAAAACTAGGGAAGGAATAACTAAAAGGTCGAGTTAATTTTTCATACAGAGGGTATATTCATATAGGCAGAATACAAGGATCTGAAGTATAATCAAATGCAAACTAGTAAAGATCAAACAAAGTTTAGATGACTATCTTGAACATTATCTCAGCAACTATCGCCTCTTTTATCCGAGATATAAAACACAAAACGAAACTGAGATAGTTAAAAAAAAAAACCCGGTTTTTCAATCCATCGTATAATGTGTAGATCAAAATGAACAAAGAAACCTCCTTCTAAATAACCGATCTTATACAATTTCCAATAACCCCATTAAAAGAAAATACATTATATATTATTTATAATTTTGTGTCGATGTTTTCATTTTCTCCCCAACCGTGTGTGTCACATATTATTTACAACTCTAATCCTCCCAGTCATCCTCCCATCCATCTTTCTTGCCAGGCCTCAAAGTGGGCCCGGCAGGTGATTTCACTATATTGCCCTCCTCCCAGTCATCATCGTCCCAGTCGTGGTCCCAACCTTCTACGGCATCCTCAGCATTCCCAGCAGGAACAGATTCCGGCAGGCCCATTTCCAGTTCTTGATATGGAATCCCGTTTTGCTGGTTGCTCGTTTTCCTCAGTTTGCAGCAAGCCCATATTCCGCCAAAAAGCAGTGCCAAGAGGAAGAATGCATACGCAGCATAGACTGGTGTCACTTGCTTGGAGTAGAAAGAGAGCTGCTGGATAAGGTTGTCTGCAGATATGGGCCGGGCCAATTGAAGCGTACACTTGGCCTTTCCAGAATCCACTATTAGTTCAGTGCTCTTGCCCATAATTGATGATATATCCATCTGTACGGCATCATCAAATTTTAAATAATGAATAATAAACACAATGTTGCATTAGGCTACTTGAAAATTCTGAAATCGAGCTAACAATCTTTTTTGTGAGTTTTGTAGGGTGGAAACTTAGGAATCAAAATATATTACTATTGGATATTTGCTAACAACAATGTTAGGTTGGTAGAAAAGAAGCACTTAGCTGGGCATAATATGACACACAGAATACCAATGCATCCGAGAATGAATCATACTAGCGGAATAATGAACGAAATCGGTCACGTAGAGACATTGTAAATGACCCCTTGGACCTATCTAAAAAGATCACAAGTGTAATTCACAGTGCAGTGATTACGTTAAACACAGACAATTACAGGCTACAAATGTGCATTGCACAACATAAATAGATAAAGTACACGTCAGGCAAATAACAATAAGCCATACCCTCTTAGTTTCATGTTTGGCTACTTCAAGAGCTGGCAAATCATTTGTCAGATAATTAGGCATATTGACCTTCACCGTCAAGGTACTTTCCCCTTCATTTTGCACCACTAGTGCTTGTTCGGAGCCTGCCAAAACGTAACAGGCAGAAGTTTTATCTTACAATGCATCGGATAGCAAAGCATCTACCAAATAGAACATCAATATTTCACACATACCACTACGTGAAAACCACTTTCTCAGACGACTCAAACTTTTTACTAATGTGGTCGAGGACAATTCCATGCTATCAATCAATTATTCAGACAAAACAAGTTAACTATTTTGTATTTACTTCACACAGTGAATTTTTCTCTGCCCTTTCCAACCATTTCTACTTATAAATCAAATATTCATCCTTGAACTCGACATATACTTCCATCCTACAATATCATGCAACCAGAGAAAACAATTCTAGGCTAATAAGACGTTCGCCCTAAAAATGACAGATGCCCCCAATTACCTAGAATCACCAATTGTAAACATTATTAGCTACATAACATCCGAGTAACAACTAAAGTTGCAGTCTTGAAATGTAACCGAATCAATTATATCATCTCAAATGATTCAAAACTGAAGTACCACCACCTTTTGAGGCTTCAACACAGGCAATCATCTTCTGATCCCTGCAACTAGCCACACAGCCTACCAACTTCGGCACGGTTTCACTGTCCGCCTTCTCATTTCCTCTATCAACTACATTGCTACTCTTAGCACCAGCAGGCGGTATAGAAAAACTCGACCTTTTATCATCTTTGTCATTCCCATTTGAACTCTCAGTAACATTTGGCAATGTCTTGCTAGTGTTGGTATGATTGTTCACCTGAGATTCCTTCTGCCCATGTTCTTCAGTCTCCCCGGCAACCTTCGCAGTTTTATTTGCTCCATCAGCTGGGCTTACACTCGGAGCAACCTATTCGAATAATCTGATTAACTAAAGCTTCATTTCAATGAGTAAACGCAAAAAACAAATAAATCAACGAAGAATTCAGCCATAAAAGTTACCTGAGGAGTGGAACCATTGTTCTGTGTAGGGGCGATTAATTTCCGTACACGAAAAGCTAAAGAGGCATCGCAAGTGTGTGAAAGTGAAAAAAAAGCGACGATTAAAACGAGAGCAATAAAGCTATTTCTGATCGTCCAAAAAATCATCAGCATCTTCAGGGCAAGATTTTCAGCATGTTTCGATATACTTCAATCGAAACGAAGCTAAAGAACTCATTTTTCCATCAGAATGTTGAATAATTATTGCAATTCTTTCTGAACACCCTTCAATTGTTCACACAAAGCTTGCACAAAAAAGCAGAATAGGACAAACAATTATAAGAATTTAAACGTTGAAGAGAATTTAGGGTTCGTGATTGGCTGGGGGGACGGTGGAGTGGATCTGAATTCTGATCCATGAACGAAAATGAATCAACAGCGCCAAGGACTTTGTTGACATTTCCATTCAATATGGGCCCCGTGCAATAATTTGGAGCTCTCATTAATTGGGCCTCAGTAGTGTATTGAAGTGCGGACCGGCCAGCTGAGTTTGGGCTTAAAATGTATACAGAAGTTCCAAGCTCGCTTAGTTTTTATAAAAATATAGTACTAATTTTTACTATTTAATTGGGTTATATGTTTGCTAATTTTAAATTGCATTATTTTTTTAGTTTAGTTTATGACTCGTTTTAGTAGATTTATTTATTTATGGTTTTATTTGAATGATACTATATTTGCACAAATTTTTAAGACGTCTATTAAACATGTAATCAGACTAATAATTGTTTGTTGTATCTTAATTAATTTAATAAAACTATTTAAAAAAACTTAGAGCAAGAAAATGTTGATATCGCACTTTATAAATAAAAATACATATTTGTGAGATATAGTATTTTTATTTATATTATTTTTTAGATATTACATATTTAAGTATAATTATATGTATATATAAAAGAAGGTATATATGATTGTCAGGATATGGTTGATAATTAAAATATTTATTAATAAAAGGATAATACAATATATCAATTCAAAATTATGACATGTATGGGCAAAATTTTCACACACACAACACATTTTGTCTCTTTGCACAAAAAAATTAAGGTTGTTAAACCTTTTTTTTTTTTTGTCAGAAATTTCTTGGAGGAATATCGAGTACACATATACAGGAAAAAAAAAACACAGTTTCAGTCCAGCAAGAAAGCATAAAGTGATAATTTTCTACATAAGTTTCCCACATATATACAAATAGTTGATTATCTGTCACCTAAACATATCTCAAATTTGCAGCCTTTTTTTGATCTTATGATCTCTGTTCTCAGTTCTCTCACCATTTTGTTTTTTTGTTAATTTTCTCTCTTCAGTTGCTTGTGAGTTTGTCCTATCTAGGGATTCCCCTGTCAGCTTCATTGCCAATTATTCACACCACAACTTCTTTTCCTTTATAGTTTCTTGATTCTCAGCCAACTTTTTATTTTGTTAAGAGTTAGCTTTCACAAATGGAGAAAACGAAAGACACGGTTAAATGCATGTTTGGAGACGAGCAAAGCACTTTGCTCGACCGATACGAACGGTTGTCCTTTGAGGTTCAGCTAAAGAAGGCAATGCTCGGCCGGAGCTTGTCTGAACCGGTCGCGGCTCGTTTCCCTCCGCCTCCCAAACGGGAGACGAAAACCGGGCTTCGTGGACTTAGGCCGGGCTTTTCGAAGGCTGTGAAGAAGCTCCTAAGCCCGATGTTTGGAGGCGGTAAAAGAGCAAGCAAAAGTGTGGGACACAATAATCCAAAGGATCCCATGTTTTGGAAGAGATTCAGCAGATCTTTGAGGGTTTGAATCGAATTTAATTTCATATGTTAATTGCTACGATTTGATGATGTTCATTAGGGTTGTGACTTGTGTATGTGTGTTCAGGCTTAAGCTGTTGTGACTTGTGATAATTATGTATGGGTCTAAAGTTTATTTGATAAACGAGTCGAGTTTCAGCTCATGCTCCGGCTAGAGAAATCTTTGAGTACTGTCGGGAGCTCGAGCTCGATTGGCTCATCTTGGTCCAAAAGTTCAATCATATGTGGGGATCTAATATAATTAACTTTTATTTTTGAGGCTTTCCCAACCTAGATTTTGTGAATGAGCGAAATACATGCACTGCAAGCTATTGGCAGGGGCAATTGGGTATTAAATTTTAGTCGCCATTTGCTGGGATATTCAATACGGTTGACTTGCATTTGTGGTTATTGTCAAAATAAATTTCTAAAGTTGGAATTTTGAATTCAAAAAATTAGTGTACATACAATAAATATGAGGAGAGCATTAGTCAAGTAACAATGAATAACATTCAAATATTCGTAAATCCATAAAAAGATCCAAGTTATCAGTACAAATGTACAATCCTTACGTATGTGTTGTTCCAATGTTTATTAAACTGTTGAATTTCCAATAACAATTACCATAACAAAAAAAAAAAAGGACTAAAGTCTTTTTAATCTATAGATAATAGATTACATTTTAGTTTTGTTGTCCCAATCTTCAAAATGTCAATCAGAGTTACAAACAAGCTCGAGCTCTTAATACTTGAGTTTGGATTAAGCCCTCGTGAAGTTAACGAACCGAACCGAACAAATTTGAATCTTAACTAGCTAATCAACGAATGACTCATTTCGTTTATCAATTTTAATAAATCAATCATTGAGCACGATCTTAACAAACAAAACCGACATAATACTTAACGAATCAATCAAGGAACTTGAATCTTAACAAACAGAATCAACTGACGACTCATTTAGTTTAACAATTTAATCGTGTAGAAGACCTAAAGACTGTGATAGTTACAGAAACCTCTGACCGTGGGCGGGCCCAAGTTAGATCCACCCAACGTGTAAACGTTTTGAGCTACGTTTAACGAGGCTCTGACAGATATTTGTTGACAACACTTGGGCCTGGACGTTGTTGATCCAGTTTCATTTCATTTTAAAGCCCAGTTGCATTCCCAAATTTTCATTTCATTTTATCAGACGGTTGTACTTCGTTTCTGGGGGAAGAAGAAGATCGGAATTCGGAATGCAAAAGCAAGTCCTGTCCTTAACGGAAGCCGCGGCTGCTAGAATACGCCAACTCCTTGAGCAGCGCCAGCGCTCTTTCCTCAAGCTCGGTGTCAAGGCTCGAGGCTGCAACGGCTTATCGTACACCCTCAACTATGCCGGTTTACAATTCTCTCTATGTTTTTTTTTTTATTAGGATAAGAATGGAAGCAAATTTGATTTAAATATTTGTTAATGATGTCGGTCAGAATTATTTAGAGATCCAGAATTTAGCTATATCTTTCTTCCTGTTTGAACCACTGGATTTGTGAGTTTATAGTCAATATGTGTGTTTATTGTGTTCAACTACTCATTTTTTTCCCCAAATACTATATTAGCATTTTTCTGGTATCCATGTCCTTAAGACCTTTGGTTTGTTATAAATCTGGTAGTTTCTTTGGTTTCTAGTGCATTTCCTTCACTGTTTTACTTTCCGATGCAGAAACTTTCTGGATGCTTTGGTTTGAGCTCGTCCTTGGTTTTGTAGTTAAATAATTCCTCGGTTACCCAATGCAAACTCTTGAAAGAAAATCTTGAAGGTTATTTGGCTGCATGAATTTTGTACTTCCTCGTACAAATGTTCTGTTAATCGCCATTGTGATTGCTACTTTTCCATTGGGGAGGAGGATGACTGTAGGGCACGTTACATGGTTAGGTTCAGTTGTATGTATAGACGAGTATAACGTACAAGATAATATATGGTTAGGTTGATTTCACCATGTCGTATGGCGCACCATGGGGCTGATTACCTAAAGAAAAAGTGACTTATATTAAGACTGTTGTTCTTCATTTGCATTACTTGTACTATACTTACTGATGTTGCTGAATGATGGAAAATAAATGTAGAACTGCTTATGGATAATGGAAATACAATTGAAGGATTATAAAGGATTGACTACTCTGATGAAAAATTGTGGAGGAAAAATTATCTGTCTTATGACAATGATTTTGGACAGCGTATTATTTGCTTAGACCATTTTATTCATATCTATACTTTGATGATCTTTATTCGAACTATTGTCCTGGGTTTACTGTTTTTGCTGACGTGTTTCGTGCAAATCACTAAATTTTTTATATTTCACTCGCAGACAAGAAAGGCAGGTTTGATGAGTTGGTCGATGATAAAGGAGTCAAGATATTGATTGATCCAAAGGCCCTCATGCATGTCATAGGAACCAATTTGTTGATGACAAACTGAGGTGTGATCCTGTTCTCCACTCCCTATTGCATATTGCACTGCTTTGAACTGAACCTTTCTACAGCTGATTGCAAACTTTGCACTTGTGCTGCATATTTTGTGTATTGGGGATTGGTAATGTACTCTGTACGTAAATCGTGGAGAATGGATGAAAAAACTGTATCCTAAAGACAGTTTTTTGAAACTGGAAGTCAAATTTCCATGCAATGTTCTTCTGTGGAATAATTCTATGTTAGTGTGTCTTAAATTCAAGTAAACCTGCCAACTTGTTGGAGGTGCTCATTAAAATGTTCGAATTCTGACATCTGTATTGTGGTCATGATCAGATCAGAGTTCATATTCATCAATCCAAATTCTAAAGGGCAGTGTGGCTGTGGAGAATCCTTTATGACAATGAGCAGCTCTGATGCTGCCAAGCGTGGCAGCAGCAGCAGCTCGATTGCTTAGGTTATAATCAGCTTCATTTTTTTTCCATTACCTTTGCCTACATATGCATTAGTGTTGAATCGTGAAATGAGCCTTTTCTTTTCTTCCCATTCTTTTAGGTGTGCTCGTCTGGGTGATGTAAACCAATGTAAACATGCTTATTTAATCGAAACAAAGCTAACTTTTTGTGGTTTTTAAACGTGGTATTTTTCTTTCCTCGTCTAGCATACTATAGCTCGTCTGGTTTTATGAATCGTTTCTGATGGTAAACAGATTCTCATTGAGATTTTTGGCGTAGTTCTGGTGCGGGAGTAATCAGGGGTGTAGCCGTACCTGCATAATCTGATGCTCCTTTTTAACCCCGAATGTCCTATTTTGGGGCAGTAACAATGGGTATTCAGTTAATGATTTAATTTTAACGAGTTTTGTTCGAGCTCGACTTTCAATGTTAATTGGGTTTGTTTGGACTTTTGAGCAATTTTTGAATTCATCTGAATTTTCTGATATAATGTTTCAGATGGAATAGGAAACCAGTATTCTGGAAATTGTCGGCTGTAGATGAGCTTGAACACCTTATACTGGGATCGAGCTTGAACCTTAATGAACATCATTAAGTTAAGAAATATGTTTGAATCTTGATGAACAGAGCCAACCATACTCAACGAATCAATCAAAAAGCTTGAATCTTAACTTTTAACCACCCTAATAGCTTATAGGAAGAACCAACGGTACTTAACGAATCAATCAAGGAGCTTGAATCTTAACGTTTAATCACCCTAATAACATAGGAACTTGAATCTTAAAGTTTAATCACCCTATTAAGTTAAGAAAGATTTATAGTGTATTTAAATTGGAAATAAATTGATGGATGGTGTATAAATATTCCAACTCATAACTATTGGTTATACAAAAAAAATAATAATAATAATTAATGTACCTCAAGGTCCACAACAAAAAGTAGGATCTTTTTTATATCAAATTTCTTTCTTTCTTTCTTTTTTTAATCTTCCTCAGCTTCAATTTTATCTTATCAACAATAATAATCAGTGATACTGTTAAAACTCCGGTATAATATTCAAGAGATTCATTTTATCTTCTCAACGATAAAAGCAATGGGTCATACTGTTAAAACTCCGGCATAATTCAAGAGATTCGATATGCAAGCTGTCACACACACTCCTTACCACCAAGCTTTCACTTTTCTGCACCCGCCGGCGTCATTTACCTCCGGCAACTGCTTTCTCCCGTTCACCGGCAGCTCCATCGTCCGCCGCGAGCTCCGCGTACGCGCCGCCCCAATCAAAGATGTCGGAGATTATCCCGAACCCGCTCTAACAGTATCCTCGCCGGAAAAGGCGAAAGCTTTCGACCTATCCAATGGGTCTACTGAAACGAAAACTGTTCCGGGCCACGTGTTGGAAAACGGACTCGTGCCGGATGTTGCCACTTTCACCTCACTCATCAATTCGTTCTGCAAAAAGGGACGAGTTAAAGACGCACTCGAGGTGTTCGACGTAATGTCCCGCGTAGGTTGCAGACCCACGATCAACACGTACAACTGTCTCCTGAAGGGGCTGTGCTACGTGGGCCGAGTCGAGGAAGCTCTTGACTTGATCCAGAATATCAAGAAGTCATCCTTGAAGCCCGATATGTACACCTACACGGCCATGATGGATGGACTTTGTAAGGTGGGCCGGTCGAAAGAGGCAACAGGTTTGTTAATCGAAGCCCTAGAAATGGAGTTAACGCCCAGCGTTGTCACTTACAACACTTTGTTCAATGGCTATTTCAAAGAGGGCCGTCCTTTATGTGGGTTCGGGCTTTTGCTGCGCATGAGGGAGAGGAACTGCAAGCCCGACTACATTATCTACAGTACGTTGTTGCACGGATTGTTGAAATGGGGTAAAACAAAAGCCGCCCTTGGCGTTTACAATGAAATGGTGGAGACGGGCTTTCGGGTGGACGAGAGGATGATGAACACTTTATTGAGAGGCTTGTGCAGGCAAGCAAGGAAGAAGAAAGAGCGTCTTAAAGAAGCTTACCGTGTGTTTGAACACATGAGGAGTGGGAATTATGTCGTTTATGCTTGTACATTTGATTTGGTGGTCGAATCATTTTGCAACGGGAAAGAGGTGGATAGGGCTTTTGAAAATTTGAATGAGATGATTAGGTTTGGATATTCGCCCAAGACGTTCACCTTCAACTTTGTCATGTATGGTCTTTGTGGTGTTGGAGAGGTTGATAAGGCATTGAGTGTTTTGATGCTAATGCATGTGAATAGGAAGCCTAACGGGATTCCTTTTGATTTGTTGATCAATGAGTTGAATCGACTAGGAAGGTCGTTGGATGCTTGTTATGTTTACGGTGTTGCACTAAAAAGAAGGGTTATACCCAAGAGTAAGCCTCAATATTTGGTTGTAAAAGGGTCATTATAACATTTGTACATTAAAGTTTTTGACTTCTTGATCAATGAGATGAATCGACTAGGAAGGTCATTGGATGCTTGTAAGCTTGTAATGTTTACGGTATTCGCACTAAATTGAGGGGTTGTACCCAAGAGTAAGCCTCAATATTTGAATGTACAAGAGTCATTATAACATTTGTATATTAAAGTACTAAAATGGGGGGTAAGCCTCAATATTTGAATGTACAAGGGCCATTATAACATTTGTACATTAAAGTTTCATAATACGATACTTTAGGGATTGCTGGGTGATTGGTGCAGCTGTGTTAAACAATGCTAATATGCTACAAAGAACATGATGTTGCCATTTATTTGGTTTCTCTTCAGAGACCAAGTTGGCAAGGGCAAATTTGTTCCACTACTTGCAACTAGTGTTCACCAAGTACACACTTCCAATATAACAAAACATAAAATTTCAAATCTGATTCTCAGCATGGAGTACTGTAAGAGCATTTACACGGGATCTAACAGACAGTTCTCAGATAATAATGGTAAAGAAGATGCCGGGGCTCCAAGAACCATAAAAGACTCCTAGAAAAATGGTATAAAAGTAGGCTATTATACACGACTTGTGTACTGCCCAGTTCTTGTATCCACCAAGATTTCATCGCCAATGTTTATGAACAATGGGACGGTAACAACAGCACCAGTTTCAAGTGTAGCAGGCTTAGATCCTCCTGCAACAGAGCAGAAAACAAAAAAATGATCAATGAAAATATGACAGAATTAGTCAAAAACATATGATGTATTCAATGTGAGAGAATCCAAAACGATACCTTGAACTGTGTCACCCTTTATACCTGGATCAACTTGAACCACAGTCAATTTCACTATGTTGGGGAGTTCAAAATCAATGATCTAAAGCACAGTTAAATAGTTAGGGTCTCCACTTCGGTATTGAAAAATCAATTTAACCACTAGAAGACAAGTTCGAGAAAATCAAACTTGAGAATAGCTTTGGAAAAACCGGTTCTCATTTGGAAATTACAGAAATCCCATATGATAGTAATTAGTAACCTTATCCTTCCAGAACAGCAAATTGCAGTCCATGCCTTCTTTCAGCCACTCTGATTTATCTCCAACATCAGACTCGTTCAGACGGTATTCATCATAGGTAGTCTGGAATATATATTATATAGACTAGTTAAAGCAGTCAACTGTTTAAAACTTTAGCAGGAAACCGCATTGTCTTGTCAGAATCAAGATTGATAGATATATTAAGAGCATCAGGAGAGATACACTAATGGAACTAATACTCAGCTAACTAATCACAAGATATAAGCAATTTGACATAATCATGTGAATTCGAAAGGGAAATGTTTTTTACCAAGTCCATGAAAACATACTGAGCGCCATCCTTATAACTGAATTGCTTGGTTTCCTTGAATATGTCGGCCTCTTCGATCTATCAACAGTAGAATAAAAGAAAATATATAAGTGTATGTGTATGGCTAGTGTACTGTATCATAAAGCATATCCCATCCCATATCAAGTTCACTAAAGATTGGAAAAAGCAAGGATCAACTAATCCTTCATGAAAATCTGTTTGTACCCTCAAAATAATCAAGAACAAGTGTTTTCATAACTGGATACATGTCAATTAAAAATTCCATTTAGTTATCAACCTTCAGCACACTAGTTAATATGGTTAGTGAAAACTTCGTGACTTCAAATTGCATTCTAAACAGACACATAACACAAAGTAACTTAATACAATTTCATGGCATGCTCCCAGGGCATAAATTGACAAATTTATTACACATGCTAAACCAAGTAACCAACTATAAATTAACACCTCCTGTTTAGCTACTCATACAATACCTTGATTCCAGCTCGGAAAGTCTTCTCAACTTGATTTCCAGTTACATAATTCCGCAACATTGTCCTGACGAACGCTGCCCCTTTCCCAGGTTTGACATGGAGAAACTCTGAACAATGTCACAAAACATGTCAGCACAAACAAGTAAGTAGCCCACATCACAATGTCGCGTCGAGCATATTCAACTAAAAGCTCCAAACTTTGAGGTGCTCACTACAACAGCATCTCAGCCGTACGATTCCAGTAATTCCTCAGCAACACCGCAGTTCAGACGAAATTCCCAAAAAGAAAAGGGAAAAGAACAAGAAACACATAGTAAGTGGGCAAAGTTGAGAGGAAATACCAATAACCTTCCATGGGTTCCCGTCCACTTCAATGTTGAGGCCCACCTTTATATCATTGCTTGTTATAGCGTATATCTCTGCAAAACAAAAAAAAGGGCAGCCCAGTTCAAAACGCAAGCGCCCAATTGCTAATGGCGAGCGGAAAAATGAACCGACTTACTGTGGAAAGTTGAGGGTCGGGTTGTTGTAAATTTTAGCCGCGGGACTTGAAATGGGTTTGAACGGTGGGGAAGGGCGGAGGACAGTGGCCGGAAACACGGACATTTGAAAGCGTAGATTCCCGCCATGGCCGGAATCGGATGACTGAGGAGATGCTCAGGAGCGGAGGTTAAACATTAAGCTTGGATAAGGGCAAAGCAATTTTTTTCTTTTTTTTTTTCTTTTATTTTTCCTTCTTAAGGGTGGTTCACTTTTGGTTAATGAAGAAAAAGGGTAGGGTGGAGACTGGAGAGGCCTATGGCCTTATGGATGGCTACGTACGGTCCACGGATGATGGGCTTACAGGAAATTGAGCCTTTTGGTAAATTGGGCTTAACTGTGACGTTTTTGTAGAAATTTATTAGTCACTGGCAATTTGAAAAATATAAACTAGAAAAATAAAATTACACCATTTATCTTCCATTCTCATTTTATTATTTTTCTATTACCAAGTTTTTTTCCCCTTTTTTTCACAATTCAAACTTTTACAGTTTATGAATGATTAATTTGAAGTTTGTTTTTAAAATTTATTTTTATCTTTATTTTAACGTATATTATTTTTTTAGTTTATGTCTAGTTTGTGAGAATATGGGAAAAATATGTTGTGTATTATTCAAAAGACATGTACACATATATATAGAAACATAATGAGCCTAAATCTAATCCTACAAGATATAGACAAAATATATTATAACCATATATACAATATATTCTAACATACTAATATATGCTATCCATATATAGCATATATTCTAACATAGTTTATGAGTGTCAACATCGTATTTTCCTTTAAAAAATCAAATGATATAGTATACGTGTAAAACAACCAATAAAAATAAAAGTTATAAAACTCATGCTCCCAACTTTGAGTATAAACTATCCGAGCTCAAACTCATAATAATCGAGCTCGAGAACGAAATGTGTCGATAAACAAAATCAAGCTCGACTAGTTTATTATTACCATACTAGCGAGCTAAAATCGAGTCTTAAACAAGTTGAACTCAAATCGAGCAAAGGTATAAAAAATAAATCAAAATTTATATATTCTTCCATTAATGAGCTTTAAATATGTCCAGCTAGCTCAAGTCATAGCAAGCTAACCCGAGCCTTAACGATGCATATCATGTAGAAAAGTACTTAAAAATATATTTTCGAGACTTTAACGAGCTTTAAATAAAGTGAG